AAAAAAAAAAAAAAAAAAAAAAAAAAAAAAAAAAAAAAAAAAAAAATCAAAGGCAGTTTGAATCCTTTAATTAATTTATTTTTTAAAAATATTTGTATGAATTAATATGATTAATTTATAAATAATAAATATTGTACTTATGTTTACAAATTATCCACGTTTAGAATGTCCAAGAGGCCCTACTTTATTAGGTGGACTCGTGAGTGGGATAACTCTCCAGAATAATCAGGACAAACACCAAAAGCTTGTTGTTAATAAAAATTATGATTATTTCCAAATAAAGCTTAAAGACTTCCTTTATTTCCCATACTAATAATAAATAATAAATAAATTATTAAATTTTAATTTAAAAAAAAAAACACCTGTATTTTATCTAAAATTAATATATCTTTAAATTTTTAAATAATATTTTTAAACTGAAAAAAAATTGTTAAATTTTATTACAAAAAAATATTTTTAATTTTAAAAGTTATTTAAAAAACTTTATTAAAAATATTAAAAAATGTGTTTAAACTTTTTTAAAAAATTAAAAAATATTTATATTGTTAGTATATTAATGCTAACATTAATAACTAAAAAAAGGTTTAAATAGATTTTATTATTAATATTCTTATAATTTAAGAGCTATAAGAGATAATTTATGAACATAGATGATTTTAATGTTAGTATTATTAATACGTATTTAAAATATGAGTATATTTTTTTAAAGATATTTTTAAAAGTTTAAAAGAATTATTAAAATATTTGAAAGTGAATATTTTTAAAATATAGAAAGTTTGGCAAAGACTTTCCTTGGTTACCAGTTTTCCGCCATTTTCATCATTTTTTTTCTAGAAAAACAAAATTCCCGCTGGAAATTTTACTTTCGTGATTTCAATTTTCAAGTGAATCACCAATGATTCTAATCTAACTATTAGGCGAAGGAGATTTGAAGCAGAAGAAATGGAAGGATAAAATCTGCAGAATGAAGAACGAAAGAGGTGAAACGGAGGGAAACTGAACCTGTAACTTCGAGGCCAAGCGGCGGTATTGTAAGAACTTGATTGTTTATGATTCTGATTATTCATCGATAAGCCGGAAGAATCCGATTCGTTTCCATTGTCTTCGCCATTGTCGAGTTCCTTTTCTAGATCTTCGTCGTCAGAACTTTCGATGTAAAAACTTCGGTCCGACACAGAGTTCTTCATTTTCTTATCAAAATTCAAATTCCTCCTTGTTGCAATTCGTTCCTTCAACTGAGAATTAATCAGTCTCAATCAAGTACACCACAAAGTACAGATCCAAAGCAGAGAGAAAAGATAGAGAAACAAAGTTTCAGATATAATTAAACACATGCCAATCCTTTTCCAGTAGCTTGAATCGCCGAAAACGGAATAACAAACAAATAAATAATCAGTGAAAACATCAGAATTAAGGCGCCAAAAACGTCGATCAAATCATGATTACCATTATTTAATCAATTTTTCCAAGTAGAATCCACGAAATCCGCCTAAAAATGACTGTAAAACGAGAAGCTACAAATTGACATCAATTCAAAATTATAATTCTAATCGTGTCTGAAAATCTGAAGTATCCGAACACTGTTTGGCTGCCGAGAAATTATACTTATAGGCTATGGTAAATAGAAAATGAATTGAAATTCGAACGCCAATCCGAAGTTCACGTAACTAAAAATGAAAAAACAAAAAACAGAAGCAAAATCACGTTCGATTTCACACAGATCACGAGCCCTACAGAAAGTTCAAGACAAGAAACGGCATTGAAAGAATCAAATCTGATAATGAAGTTTTGTGAAAAGCAAAAAAAGAGAGGGAAAAATGTCAAACCTGGGGAGAGAGAATCGTGAAGTCTGTCGATCCGTGCTTCTTCTTCCTTCTGTGGACTCTCTTTATTTCTGTTTTTCTCATGAATATTCTTTATAATTTCAGCCATTTTAATTTAGCTCGGGATTATTTGTACTTATTTCTTTTTTGGATAAGTTTATCCTAATTTAATATTTCAATTTCATTTCATAATTAATTAGAAAATAAGCATAATTTCTAAAAATTAAATAGATTTTTAAAAAAGAAACTAAATATGATGAATATAGTGTTTGCAGAAGTTCAATTTTTTTACTTTAAATATTATATATATATATATATATATATATATTGTAATTTACAAATATTTTTAAAATAGTTGAGTTTCAAAAACTAAAATAAATAATTATTATTTTAAAAAAAATTCTTAAGAATTTTAATATGAAAAGTGTAATAAAAAGGGTGGGAAAATAAACTCAATTCTAAAAAATTAAATAATTATTAAACCAGAAAACTACCATTTCTACTTTCAATTATTTATTTATATATATATATATATATATATAACTTTTATATATTTTCTATTAAAAAATACGTAAGAACATAGTTGTATTCCCATTTTATTTTTGTTTTCTTTTTCCATCCTCTCAAACTTACCAAATTTAAAATTAAAATTGTTTGCTTTTTTTCATCCTCTCACAACTTACCAAATTTAAAATTTATTTTTTATTTTCCAAATATTAGTTCATCTAAAACCCGACCACAAACTGTGATGTTACTTGTTTAGTTGTCATGTCCCGAAAGTTAACGGTTTCCTTGCGTGGTACCCGAACAAATATAATACGAATAAAACGTAATCCCTTTAAGTATTGTAATATAGCAAAACTATATAAATATGTAAATATTATAGATAAGTCTGAAAATGATTCGAACAGCAAAAATTAAGATAAAAATTAAGATGAAAATCGGAGTTTTGAAAGAATAAAACCAAAATAGAATAAAGGTAAACACGAGAGACTAAAATATCCTCATGTTCAAAGTTATTTGAGAGAATATGGATAAAAAATGAAAATACGACGAATTTACATCCTTTCGAAATTCACAAAGCTTGAAAATGGTATATTTGAGAACAGAGCTCTACATCAAATTTCTTCTTTAAATACAGAATTGCAACAGAATTGCAAGTGTATGCAAAGTTTACCTTGTTTCTTCCTTTTTATGCCTTTCTAGCCTGATGAGTGGAGAGAAACTGCAGTGTTGCTTGGCTTTGGAGTATTCTTCAAACAAATTCAGAACAACGCTGAAACAGAAGACGGATCGGATCAGCCCGGCTCGGCCGAACCTGTTCACGAACTATCGCGCAAAGTCGGGAAACTGAGTCCATCTTTTAGATGGCTGGCTGAAGTAGGCCATGCCCATTTCAGAATGTTTGGACCTAAGATCTGATAACAATATCAACACCCTAAATGAGTTGTGTCTTGGGTGTTTCATTCAGAACCCAGATGAGTTACCATATGAGTAGATCATAGATTCAATATTATCTACAAGATGTGACAAGAAAACTTCGAATTTTGGGTTATTACAAAGTCTTATTTGTCACATCTTATATTTTATTCGATGTGACGAGAAAAACTTGTAATACCCAACATCAGCAAGTTGAACACGGGAACATGTGTGTGCAGACAGACACATATGCAGTAAAAAAAGCATAAGTAGAAGACACCAACCAAGGTCGTGTTTTTATAAGCACCGACGTCGAACGGGTGCTGATAGCTCTGTCCAGACTTTCTAGCCAACCATGCTGCACGTATTCCTTCGTAATACTGATCGAAGAAACACGATTCTCACTCAATGATCGGAGGGGGGGAGAAACTCATGCTTATAAGTCCAAGTATCCAACTGTAGGAATCGATATCATACCTCTATAGTCGTCATATTTCGAACGATGAGGTAGATATGCCAGCCCAGAAGAGTTCCGAGCGTTGAGCTCAAGGAGATCATCATCACTGCACAAATAACCTAAAACATAAAAGTTAAGTAAATCTCTGGCCAGCAACGATACTTTAATGATCGACCTATGTCGGTCAGAATTTTTCTACTTTTAAGGCCTAGCTTGCACATATCTCGACTAGCGCCAATAACTTGAACCAATTCTCTCGACCATAGCCCGTTATTGACTCTCAGGCAGATCCAGATAGTCGTTACAGCAAAGGCATTTCAACGAAATAAGATTAACGCATACAGATGTGGGTTACATAATCAAACAACTTACATAGAAAATATTTACAGGAAGCATTCCCTCAAAATTCCAGTTCTTCTGAAATGCACATCTCATAATGATGAACTAAGCAACCAAAGCTCAAGCTATAAGCAAAAAAAAAAAAAAGATTTCTTGTTAAATGAAATGAACTAAACTGAAAAGGGCATACAGTGGAATATAAGCTTGCCAAAGTCCCGTACGAGACAAGGACGAAAAAGGACTTGTAGTTCCAATAACCAACACAGTTATTTATCCACAAACAATGATGATCCTGCATCCAGTTTAAGCCCATGTCAAACGGAGGAATAAACCATAGGCACTCAGTTTAACCATGTCTGAAACTAAGAGCAGAGTTCAATTGTTATGCTTTAGATACAACAAGACCTACCATCCTCAGAACACACTTTCTGCAGACTCGACAATGATGGGTCCTTGGAGGCTTGTAGGTGCTACACTTTTCACAATGCCTCACCTGTAAAGCCTGTCATTTAAGTCATGAATTTGTATCAATGACTCAAACACAATACAGAGTTCACAACTGAATTGATGTCTTATTTGCCTGTTGCACGTTAAATACTAAACACGGTGAAAGATTGTTTGTGGCTCCATGTCATAAAGGTGCCACCGGATTCTAGGTTCAGATTTTCTCGACAGAATAGTACCCTCGATATGAAGAAAGAGGGGATATGGGTACGGGTTATGATCAGACCGGATTGAAGGTCTATCGACAATATGTTGCTGACAAACCGATAGCAATGGACAAGGTAACGTATTTCCTCATTGACAGTGTCACTGAGCTTCAAAACTATATAGACTTTCGTCGATAAGGCAACGTATTTCCTCATTGTCCTAATTTATTCAAGGGTACTTGATAAATGTAGGATTAAAAGTTCAGAATTAAGATAGGATAAGCCCATGTGGTTTCTCTTCCATTAAATTCCTGTCCAATCACCATTTCATCCCTTGAAACCTTCGAATAATGTCACCCTCTAATGCATGCACTTATTAAACTAGCTCAAGATTGTGACTTAGGTCTTATGATACCATATATCGAGTCATAAAGTATTGTGCAACCTCTTCGGCTTGAACGATAAGGCTGTAAATGAAATTACATATTACCATCAAATATCCTTCAAGAAATTGACATATTAAGGAGCTCTACAAATAGAGGATTAATTGAACCTTCTTTGAGACCAATATAAGACAAAATAAATTATAATCAGGACAGAGATCCTTGGTTGGGATTTTGGCGGCTGTTCTGTTCCACTTTGAATATATCAATAAATCATATAATTCTATAGTATCTTATCTGTAGCCTTCAAATAAGAACAGAATGAAAATAACAAAGAAAACCTATTCATTTTATTCATAATATCCATTAACAAATACATCAGCCGATAAGAATTCTTTCCTGAACAAAGTGATCATCAATTCATCCAATAGAACTCCATAGTTCCATCCCTTGAAACTACACTAATATCAAATAAGGCTCGATAGCCATGTACCACAGTACGTGTAGTTGAACAAAGTGATCATCAATTCATCCAATTGAATTCCATAATTCCATTAAATTTGTTATTCTCCACTTGAAACCACATTGATACCAACTAAGGCTCAAAACCCACGTACCACAATGCGTGAAATTATCAAGACATCCCTAGACAGAGTCAATCAATCCAAAACGTTCAAAGAAGCAAATTCTATAAGTTCATAAATAGACAAAGAAACACAAAGCTGAGGTTTAAATAGAAACCTCGAATTCACATCATAGAATCAGAGAAAACAAACGAATCAAATTCGTACTAACTTACGGAAATCTTGGCATCGTGATCCGATCCGGCATTTTCTTCAACATCAGGCAAATAGGAAGATGGAACAGGACCTGCGTCGGTGAGAACACAAACGGCCAAAGAGAAAAGGCAGAGCGAAGCCAAGTAAGTGAAAATCAAAGAGCTAATCAAACCGGGAGAGGTGAACAAACCAATCCAATCCTCGATGAAAATGAACACCGTAATGTAATACACAAAACCTATCAACGATAGCACAGAAAATATGGGAACTGATAATAATCTCCTGATTTTCATCTGGGATTCAAGCAGAATTGGAGCGAAAACAGAGCCAGCTTCGCCATAGCGAGTATTCACAATTTTCAATATCCAGAAATGGGCCGTGTTTGGGCCTGGCGAAGCCCGGTCCGTGTTCCTAGCCCAATTTGCTTTTTCTATTTTTTCTTTTCTCAAAAACTCATAAATGATGGTTTGTTCTCCTCCCAAGAGGTCACAATCAACCCCCTTCGGGGCCCATCGTCCTCGATTGCACTCTTTTCTTCCTCCAATTGATGTGGGACCGCCCCCAAATCCAACTCATTTGGAGCCCAGCATTCTTACTGGCACACCACCTCGTGTCCACCCTCTTCGGGGAACAACGAGAAGGCTGGCACATCATCCGGTGTCCGGCTCTGATACCATTTGTAACGACCCATATCCACCGCTAGCAGATATTATCCTCTTTGGGTTTTTCCTTTCGGGCTTCCCCTCAACGCTTTAAAACGCGTCTGCTAGGGGAAGGTTTCCACACCCTTATAAATGGTGGTCTGTTCTCCTCCCAATCAAGGTGGGACATCACATCTTTACTTGACTTTTTAGCTCAAGTTGACTTCAACCTTGGGTCAAGGACATGTGTGAGGCTCGTCGAATTTTCTCCTACTGGCTGTCTCCAATTTATCCTTGAAATGTTCCTCCTTCGAATGAGACTCAGATGGTCTCATCATAAAAGGGAGGATCTTGGGAATATGGAATGCTTAATTCTAGTTGAATGTTCACGGGGAGGATTTACTTGCTTGAGTAGAGCTTTTCGATCGAATCTTGAAAACACATAAATTAGTAATAAAAACGTAAGATTTGGAAGCTTGGCTTTTGTGCATTAAATATCCTCCTTCCGATCTTTGAAAAACAAGACCGTTAAAGAAACACTAGACGAGAACTTATGTCATAATCATTATCAAATAATTTTGAATTGCCGATAGTATAGGTGTCTTAACCATTGATGCTCGGGTTGACGTTTTTCTCTCTCTACAATTAAATATTGCAAAAAGATGTCTGCATTATATTCATCGTAGTAAGGAAAATGACCGATTAGCTTTTTTCTCTCTAAATGAATAGTGATTATACGTCGTAACCGAGCTAAGGTTATAGAGCTAACTTCTTGACCGAGACTAAGATTATATACGTCGTAACCAGTTAAACTATACAAAAGTTAATAATTTTATTCTAAACTTCAAAAATCAAATTTACCCTCATTAAATTAGGTTAAAAAAAAAAGTTTAGAAACCCTAGTTGTTCGTTTCTCTTTCCTTCGTCGATCTATTACACATTGAATTCGGGATGTAAAGAGTACAGAATAATCTAATTTCTTTCCGTGCTTGATTTTGAAACGTTCTTAAAATTTTATCTATTCAAGTTTTAGAAACCCTCGTTCTTCCTTTCTCTTTCCTTCGTCAATCTATTACACGTTGAATTCGGAATGTGAAGAAAAAAATCTAAATTCTATCCTTGCTCGATTTTGAAATATTCTTAAAATTTTATCTATTCAAAACAGTAATCTTCCCGATCATGATTTCTCTTTTGTTCTAGTCACCCCAAAATACTAAATCGCTTTTATACTTGGTATAAAATAAAACATCGAGTAAATAAAAAAATAATCGAAATGGATGAAGAAATAGCGGGTTTCTTTAGGGTTTACAAAATTGGACATAAATGATATACTTGTGGTACAAATTGATTTTATTGAAGCCGGCAAATGTAAGATTATATATATATAGGGTTTTTTGAGGACGAAATTGTTGACACAGCCGATGTGGGACAAAAAAACAGCTGGAATTTGTGCTTCGTTTTCATGCCCATCTCTTCCCCAAAATTGCCAAACCCTAAAAAATGGGCATTCATGAGCTCAAAATCTCGAGACCCATTAGCTCAAATCAACAAAAAAACACAAAAAACCACCATGGATGAAGATTAGACCTCAAATTAAGCAAACCCAGATGAAAAAAACAATCAAAACTAAACAACAACAAGTTCATAGATTTTCACAAAAACACAAGAACTAACTTGAAATTTGAGACCTCCAAAACAAAATAGCCATTCAATGATTGCTAATGCAGCATCATCAAGATTCTCAATCAAATAATCTCGAGTAAACAAGAATCTTATTGTGAATCTTGATGATGCCGCACCAGCAAATTATGGCTGCGAAGAACACGAAGAACATGAAGAACAGGAGAGAGAGTTCTTCGCAATTAGGGAGAAGAAGAAGGGTTTGTGAGAAAAGGTTGGTGGGCTAAGGTGTATATATAATCATATTAGAGGGCTAAAAAATAAATAAAAAAAGTGGTAGGAGAGGTAAATTATCTAAAGAGGAAGGAGTTTAAATGAAAATTAATATATGAGCTGTTTCTTTCTCTTATAAGTCCAAGTCCTATATTACTTTCCAGCTCTATTGCCATACAGGTTAGGGCCACCTTGCTTCGTCAATTCTTCTTTTTTTAAAAGCCATATAATAATAAACCCTCCCTTTACTTTATCGGAACCGGAACTCCCGATCCGAATATCGTTCAATTCGTTAGAGACGTTAACTTTTTCGTAGTGGTATTATTTGTCAAATTTAAGCCAAAACCCTAGTGGGTTTTCTCTCGGTTTTGCTCGTAACCCGAGCATAGCTCATTCGGTCAAAAGATATCCATGTTTTTATAATGGTTCGATATGTTTCTATTCTAATGTGGGTTTGAGTTCGGTTTCTCTCAAAAGGGTCTCATATGTGTCTTTATGACTTCTATACTCATGATCTTCTCTGTATCTAGCGAACTCGAGACTTTTGGTCGAGTCATAGGGTTGAACTCTCATTCTCTACATTCGGAAGGTCTCGTACGTACAAAATGAAATGTTTGTCTTTATAACTTATATGGTCAATTGCTTCCTTTTACTGAGCAAACTCGAGAATTTAGGTCTATCAAGAAACGAGTATGACGACCTTCTTTAGAGGCTAAAGGTTTTGAATCTCTCCACTTCCATACCGTGTTCGGGTTGGTTTAATTTTGGTAATTATGCCGTCTATAAACTTTTTATGTTACATTTATATTGATGGACCACTTGAACTATGTAACGCCAATTAATGTGTATAATTAATTAAACTAAAGTTTTGAACCAAAATGGTCCATTATTTAAGGATAACGAGGCTTCTTTTCATTTATTAATTGATTCCTTCAATGAATTCGGTTGGTTGTTACATTTCTTTGAATTAAATGGATGGGGTATAGTTTACCACATAATTAAACATATTCAAATTAATTTCTTTGAACTTAGGTGCTAGCAAGCATAACGAATCACGTAGATAAAACCCTACCTATCAGCACGCTAATAGATAGGACAAGCGAAGCACGGTGGGATGCATGTCTGAGCGGTTGAAAGAATCGGTCTTGAAAATCGAAGACTTGATAGTAATATCGAGGGAGCGGTAGCGTCAACCTATACAAAGGGCAACTAGATGAATGGAAGACCGACCCGATTATCGTGAGCGTTGACAGGTCCTGGAGTGTTTTTTAAGGAAAAAGTATATTAGATATCTTTTGTAGCTCAACGGGTACGAGAGAAAATTTCCGTATCTTTAACTTCGTGGAGAGTATATGTTTTAATCCGCTAAAAACATTATATATTAACATTTATATTTTTTTAAAAAAATTAAATAATATAAACCTTTGTAAATGAGTAGTTCAGGCATCTCTTTTTTATTATTATTATTATTATATTAGAGGTTAATTTAAAAATAAAATTAAAAAAGGAAAAATAATGAATGAAAATGTGCATTTCTTTTAAAATTAAAAAAGAGAAAAATAAATTAATTAATATGGCCGGACATAACAAAGCAGGTGACATCTTTTATTTAACTTTAAAAAAATAAAAAAGACATATAAATGTTTCTATAATGGCCGACAACCTTGTACTCCTTTCTAACCTCTTTAATTTTTTTTTTTTTTAATTTTCTAATTCACATAATTGAGTAGTTAAAATATTTTTTTAATTAACATGAAATCAATTTCAACTAATATAAAGTTTATCATAACGTACGTGCAAGATAAATCCCGAGTAAGGGTTAAGAGCACTTTTTCTACCGTCAGATATATTTTACGCTCGAAAATATTATATTTTGAAGTTATATGAACCTATTTTTCAAAAAAAATTAAAAGATACAGAAGTGTCGGTTATGAACGTGTTTTTAACTCGAGAGCTAATTTAGCTCAAAAGAACTTATTACAGAGTGAAACTAAATGGTAAAAGTCAACTACCTAATGAATACTCTCGTCGAAAAACATACTTTTATAGAGCAGACGTTAGATTTTTATAATTTTAAAGTGATGCGGCGTTAACTTTTGGGAAATATTAAATAATATAATTTTTTTTAATTAATTTTTATAATCTAAGAGTGAGAAAGGAAATGGAAGTGGATTAGGGTTTAATGATCAAAGGAACATGCTACCTAGGACTCTTTTTAATTATTATTTTTTAATCAATTAAAATTCTTTAAATTAAATAATTAAGCTAATTGGGTTGAACATGCTCCTAGGATTCCTCTCCCCCACACGGTACGATTAATAAAACTATATAATTATAAAAAAAAATATGTAAATAATAATTTTTTAATTTAATATTATTGGATTAATTGTTTGGGCCCAAGTTGTAGGCCCAATTGTTTAAATGGACCAGACCAAGGGCAACCCGGTAATTTTTGTTGGTCTTGTCGGCCC